ACAGAAAAATTATTCTAGTGACCTAGCACCATCTACAGCAGGGGTTAGGTTAGTTTAACTATGCGGGGATGTGGATTTTTCACACCTCTGAGCGACGCAGTTGGGTCAACCTAACTTTTTAGTTTAGACCAGGCTTAAGATCTGCTAGTGCACCACAATCTTGGAGCATCTTTACTATTCCAGTTCAGGGAATCCCACACAGCACAGCAAATGCATCTAAATCAATCCTGACCGAAAATCCAGTGCAAGGCCTCTCTAGAACTCAACTGTAAATCATACAGCAGCTTTGCAATGCAGACATCTCTCTCCTGAAGACTAGACTGAGCTGATCAAACAAATGAATACACGTGTTTTTTTAAAAAGTAATATTTTCACTCATGAACTACTCCAGGCTTTGAACCTTCATCTCCAGAGGTGAGAAGCTGGTGTATTAAGCCAATTATTAATTAGCCTCCAAAATGGAAACATTAAGAATTCTAAGGCATAAAAATAAGAGCTGTAGTTCAGAATTGATACTCTTATCTGGAAGGGTCCACCTTGAACAGAAGTGTAACTCAGCACACACATTTCATGCCACATTCCTGACACCTGCACTTTCTGGACTGCAACAAGCAGCTCCACACAGGCAGAGCCCTGCACTCACATTGAGCCCTGGGTTTAAATACTTATAATAGAATGATACCACCGCCTAGTAGCTGAATTCCTGATAGTCTTATGCAAGGAACTTTGCAGGAGGGAGAAGGGGAGGCCTACAAACTTGCATTTATTTCAAAACCTTTTTTTGTTGCTAGATCACCACTGGTTATGCTATGAAACAAGCCTTAGTTGTTTCAAATTCCGCAAACTGTCAGCCATAAAAGTGTTTTTAGTTATTTTACTTCAGAGGTCAGAAAAGTAAACACTCAAAACTACTGTCTCAGGGAGAAGCAAAACTCATAGTCAAAGATGATCAAATCAACACCTACACAGCACCTCGATCACAGATCCCCAATCATTCTACAAAGCAATGCAGGTGTTATTATGCCCATTTTACCGAGAGAGAAACAGACACACAGACTTGCCTAAAGTCAGTTTGTAGCAGTCAGGATTAGACCCCCACAAGCTCCCAACTCCCAGTCCAGGGACCCCACCCCAGATTATACCTGCCATTGTGATACTGCACCTACCCACTACCCCCAACAAAGACCACCTCCTCCAACAGAGACCCACCAAATAAACTGCCTACCCCCTCCTCCAGCAAACACCCCCCCAATAAACCGCCTGCCCCTCCCCCAGCACAGACCACCCCAATAAACCGCCTGCCCCTCCCCCAGCACAGACCACCCCAATAAACCGCCTCCCCCCAGCAAAGACCCCCCCCAATAAACCGCCTGCCCCTCCCCCAGCACAGACCACCCCAATAAACCGCCTCCCCCCAGCAAAGACCCCCCCAATAAACCGCCTGCCCCTCCCCCAGCACAGACCCCCCCAATAAACCGCCTCACGCCAGCAAAGACCCCCCCAAATAACCACCTGCCCCTCCCCCAGCACAGACCCCCCCCCCGAATAAACCGCCTGCTCCTCCCCAGCACAGACCGCCCCCAATAAACCGCCTCCCCTCAGCAACGCCCTACCCAAATAACCGCCTGCCCCTCCCCCAGCACAGACCCCCCCCAAAAAATAACCGCCTGCCCCTCCCCCAGCACAGACCCCCCCCAAAATAACCGCCTGCCCCTGCAGGGGGCCGCCCCGCCCCACCTGCCTCTCGCCGGACCTCAGCCCGGGCCCTCCCCGCCGTTGCCACCACCTGCCGCAGTCCCGGCGCGAGCCATTCCGCCACTCGGCTCCCCCCGCCCGGGCCGACCAAAGCTCTGTCCCCGCCCGCTGCCGGCAGGGCCAACCGGCCTCCACCGCGGCGTTGGGAGCGGGGCCGGCGCTGCGGGCTGGCCAGGAACGCCCCACCCGGCTCCACCGGCAGCCTCCGGGGCGGGGGCCCGAGCCCCGCACCCCCGCGGGTGGGGTAACACCCCCCGTCCCCCAGGGGCCCGAGCCCCGCACCCCCCAGGAGGGGTACCTCCCCCAGGGGCCTGAGTCCTGCACCCCCAGGAGGGGTAACACCCCCATGTGCCAAAGGCCTGACCCCGCACCCTCCAGGAGGGGTAACACCCCCATCCCTGGGGATCCTGAGCCCTGCATAATTCCAGGAGGGGTAATGCCCCAACCCTGGGTGGCCTGAGCCCTGCACACCCCCAGGAGGGATAACCCCCCAACCACCTGTGGGGACTGAGCCCCCCCATTGCCCCCACAGAAAGGTTAACCCCTCAATCCTGGGGGGCGAGAAGCTGAGCCCTGCATACCCTCCCAGAAAGGGTACCCCTCCAAATCCTTGGAGGGCCTGAGTGCCTTTTGCCCCCCTCCAGCACCTAGGGAGAGGCCCTCCCACAGGGTGTAGTTACACCCGCTCTTCAGACATGGTCCCTTTCACAGCCTCTCCAAAGAAAAACAAGAAGCAATTTTCTGGCAGGGAGCAGAATGCTTCTGAAGAGACAGCCCACCACCACCATTCCAGGGATGGGGAACCTGGGTGGGGTGGCAGGGTGACGGGGGACAGCCCCCTAATGGGGGAAACAAACAAAGGCTGTGAACCCATCCTGTTTAGGAGTGCTAGTTGGGCAGTGCTGAGGTTGCCATTTTTGAGACATGTTGCCACCTCATGATGTGGCGCTGTCCACAAAGACACTTTGGGGCTGCTTGGACTCTGGAGGTTCAGGATGTGGCCATGAAAACCAGGCTTGTCTCTTGCATAGGCAGCAACCTGTGCATTTGTGTGAAATGAGGACAAGACCTCACAAAACCCACCCACACGACTAGCCCCCCTTGGTGGCAGGCTCAGCAGTGCGGCCAAGCAGTAATGAGCTTTGGGGCCAAAATCCCCTCACATTGCTGGAGAGATTTCAGAAACAATACCTACAATTCTGGAGTAAACAGCATTTAATGAATAAACACACATAAAAATGTAATGGACTAAATGAAGGAAGCCCTGGAGTTATTTGTCTCAGTCCAAAACTCTGCTGACTGTAGACTAAATCTACCCAGCTACACTGCAGAAAATCCAGAATAACTCTACTGAAGTCAATGAATCTGGTCCAGTCTCATTATGATAGATGCAGGCTTGTAATACTGATAGATACATGGGTAATACTGCCCTCTACTGTTACATATGTGTTTCAAACCTCCCCATGTTTAAACATACAAAGTTTAAACTCCCCCCACCACTGCCAGAAAGGAGGCTCAACTTTCATAAACCCACTGAGTCCAAAAGTAAAAGAGAAAACTATGCGTCAAAAGTAAGGTCTGAAGACTCTACACTTCAACCTTTATTATCCAAACTTTCAATATCAGCAATTCCTAATTATCCGCTACAGGATCATATTTTCCAACATCTATTAATCACATTGAAATTTTTCTAAAACCTGGTTTATCTGAAATTATTCATTGTCCTCCTTTACCTTTCAATAACTGAGCTTCATGTGATACTCCACAATATAAACCCACTAGGGCAGGGACCATGCATGAAATTCTGGCCCCATTGAAGAAGACAAGGACAAAACACTCCCATTCACTTCAATGAGCCCAGAGTTTCACTCCATATTCTCTAGAGGTCGGAGGCTATTCTGGAGCCTTAATCATAATAAATGTGCACTGACTTGGTTTTTACTGGTAGTCCTGTAAAATGTCAAGAGTATCTTCGATCACAACTGCAGTCAGGAAAGAATGTTATACTTTACAGGTCTGAGTGGGCAAATAATCTACTCAAGTCTTCTCAGTGATGATCAACATCTACAGAAGTGAAAACTAGAGGGTATTATTATTTCAATTTTGCACATTTAAAATGTCAATATAGACAATTTAGTAGTGTGGTTCAGAAAATAATTGGGTATGGCACAGCAACTGAAAAACACAATCATGCACCCTTTAATCTAAGTATATGTACATTGGTGATTCCAGGAGAAACAGACAAATGCTCAACATACAATTTTATGACAAACATTCAACAAAATGGGAAAAACAAATAGGAATTTCTAAAATTGCTAGTTCATTCTGAGAGCCAAAATTGGGGAGGCTACTAGAATCTGGCTAGTTTGTGACTGTGGAGAGGGGATAGTTGGTGTATTGTCTATTACTGGGTAGACAACATGTTCAAAGGAAGAAGATTTAGATTAGAGATAAACAGGAACTACATGTACACGAAACAGAAATATCAAGTCAGAAGTGGATACTTGGGTGCAAAACTCATTCAATTTGTTCTTCAGAGATTGAGAGTTCACTGCTCAGATTTTGGTCTAAACTATTTGACAAGACAAGTTTATTAATGAGAACAAAGAAGATAAGACTAAGGTGAACTGATTTAAATAACTGATTTTAATCATTATTTAAACCAGGAAGCAGGAAATCTTGATTTAAATGACCTAGATCAGTTCATGGAGAATAGGTCCATCAATGGCTATTAGTCACAATGGCAGGGTTGGTGTCCCTAGCTTCTGTTAGGTCACTTGATGATTACCTGTTCTGTTCATTCTCTCTGGGGCACCTGGCACTGGCCACTGTTGGAAGACAGGATACTGGGCTACTTTGGTCTGATCCAGTATGGCCATTCTTATGTTCTTATCAGTCTTAACCTTGTTTTGCATTTGTACTTTTAGTTATTTTCCTAAAGGAAGGTCGATTCTCATTGATTGGTTACCATTAAAACATCTGTGACTAAATATAGCCTTTACACTACATTTGCTGCTTTTTTTTGGCTAATCAGGAGGATAAACTATATATACACATTTATTTAAGCAATTACAGCATGTACATCATAAGCAGCATTTCAAGACTCCAGTAATAAATATAAGACTTCTGATAAAAATTGGCAACCTGCGCCATAAGGAAGGCTGAGGCTGAAGGACCAAGCTCTGGATTCCAGCCTTGCTGCGGAAAAGATCAAAAAATGCCTGAGAACGGGATATTATTGGTACCTGGGTAAAAAACACTGGCTTCCCTGCTCTGCAGAAAGATGGAGCACTTGATCTAACAGCTCTTTTCTCTCTATCTTCTGTTAATTTATCTCAGTATTATTCTGCAGCAAAGACATGCTCAGAGAAGACATGGTTTGAAAGCTTCTTGATCTTGGTACATCACCAGCCAGAACTGTAACCAGCTCCTTTCAGGTCAGTGGAAATACATAATTTAATAAGCAGAAGCAAGTACTAATACAGCTGCCTGCACGGACAGAGGAGGTTACAGCAACATACTCAGTATACTCATGTCACTGAGCCTAGGCCAAAGGGTGTTTCTGCCCCCAGCACAGTCAAGCACTCCAGTTTTAATGCTCCAGCGGGCACTAGATCAGATCCTCATGGGGAAGATACCTGCATGTGACCACTTAATTATATTTATGTCACAATATATGGGGGGCAGGTTCACCCTCCAGGGACCCCTCTCCAGCACCAGCTTGGGTTGGGCTGTTCAGCCTCCAGGAGCCTCTCTCCAGCTGTTGCAGGGTCATCCTCCAGGGGCCCCTCTCCAGCACTAGCTTCGGGGTGGGGGGGTTCAGCCTCCGGGGGCCCCTCTCCAGCACTAGCTTCGGGATGGGGGGGGTTCAGCCTCCGGGGGCCCCTCTCCAGCACTAGCTTCGGGATGGGGGGGTTCAGCCTCCGGGGGCCCCTCTCCAGCACTAGCTTCGGGATGGGGGGGTTCAGCCTCCGGGGGCCCCTCTCCAGCACTACCTTGGGGGTGGGGGGGTTCTGCCTCCGGGGGCCCTTCTCCAGCACTAGCTTCGGGATGGGGGGGTTCAGCCTCCGGGGGCCCCTCTCCAGCACTAGCTTCGGGATGGGGGGGGTTCAGCCTCCGGGGGCCCCTCTCCAGCACTAGCTTCGGGGTGGGGGGGTTCAGCCTCCGGGGGCCCCTCTCCAGCACTACCTTGGGGGTGGGGGGGGTTCAGCCTCCGGGGCCCCTCTCCCGCACTAGCTTCAGGGTGGGGGGGTTCAGCCTCCGGGGGCCCCTCTCCCGCACTAGCTTCGGGGTGGGGGGGTTCAGCCTCCGGGGGCCCCTCTCCAGCACTACCTTGGGGGTGGGGGGGTTCAGCCTCCGGGGGCCCCTCTCCAGCACTACCTTGGGGGTGGGGGGGTTCAGCCTCCGGGGGCCCCTCTCCAGGTGTGGGGGGGGGTCAGCCTCCAGGGGTCACTCTCGAGCTGCGGGGGGGAGGGGAGAATTCAGCCCCTCTCCAGCTGTATGAAGGAGGGAGAGGAAAATTCAACGGCAGCCCAGCTACGGGTCGCGGGCGGGGGAAGTGACGTCTAGCCGGTTGCCAGGCCCCTCCCGGAAGCGCGCCGCGGACCCGGATGCCGAGCCCAGCCGCTGCAGCCATGTAGCCACCGTTACCGGCGCGAGGGGGGCGGTGTGTCGGCGCTGCCATGGAGCCGCTAGACAACAGGTAGGGGAGGGGAGGGGAGGGGCGGGGCCTGGTCCCAGCGGGGACCCACCCCCGGGCTGCACCTTCGGGGGAGGGGAGTCGGGGACACCCCCCTCCCTCCCGTTGTTGCCTTGGGGGGGGGGGGAAGGAGGAGTTCAGCCTCCCCCTCTACCTGTCACTGGTTGGTACAGTCCAGCCAGGAGGGCAGGAAGGGCTCCCTCCGGCCCACACCGTAAGTCGTCACTTCGGTCCGCTTGTGAACGGGGGCGGGGGGATGACATCATTGTGTCAGTGTGCAGCGCCCCCCCTTCCCCACCGTCGACTCACGGCACTGTCCGGTGAGCTCATCCCACAGCGCTGGCTTCACCACCCGGCCCAGTGACGTCATGCATCTCTGCGCTGCCCTGCGATGAGGTTGCCTCGCTGCACGGCAACGTCACAGGCTCACTGCCCTGTGACATCATTGGAGCCCGGCCCTGACCTGTGACGTCGTTGCATCATCCCACTTGTCCCATGACATCACAGAGGCAACACGGACGATGACGCACATTGTCGATGACCGCCTGCTGCCCAGGTTCAGCGGTAGCCTAGACGCACTGCATCACGCCACTGAAGATGCCATCGCTTGGCCAGACGGCTGTGCACACACTAAATAAAGAACAGAGGCATTGTGGCACTACACTGCTCTGTCACATCAGCGCACTACCAGCATCACATCCAGCCTTTCCCGTAACACATCGCTCCTGCCCCAACCTCATGCTAGGCCAGAACGTGCCTGAGGATGTTGCATGAGGAAGGTGCTATGATGCAGCAGCACAAATGCACCCTGACCTCACGTTTTGCACGAAGATGTCACGGTGTGATGCATACCTCCAGTGGCATCCCCCTGCTAAAACTGGGCCATCCTGGAAAAATTGGGAGAGATGGCAACTGAACATCTGCAGCCACATCTCTTAAATAGGTACAGCTTGGCAACCTCATGAGGAGGTTGTAAGACCATGTTTACTAAATGCTTTGAGATGGTTGTACTCCTGTCTTTCCTTCCTGCAGAATATTGCTAATAAAACATATCTTAGTTCCACTCTTTTTTATTATCATTTAAGGGATCCTCTTTTTCCTCCACCTAATGAGACTGCAGATCTTCCACTGCCAAATTTAACACCAAGGCATCAAGAACTTATTCCTACTCCCTGTGGCCCTGTAAGTACCTGTACTATGTAATCTTGATTTAGAATATGTCATTTTAGTAATTTTACAGCAGAAAAGGGTCCATAACCCATCAAGGAAAATCTCTTACAAACCATCTATAATATGTAATACTTTGGCTCTCTAAGAGGCCAGATGGGCTAGGTGTGTTAGCAGCATATTTAGCTCTTTTAAAGATGGACATGCAGCTGTAAATCATTGTTAGAGGTGAGGGCAGCATGAAAATGCAGATCTAAAATGCGCACAATGGTATCATCTTTAGTGCCATTAATTACAGACACTATCAGGTTAAAATCACATTTTTAAAAACCCACACATTGCCTTTCATAGGTTACAAAAACAACTTAGATTATTAAAAAGGAAGGCATTTTTTAATGCTCAGTAATAAAAATAACTAGTCATTCCCTCTTTAATTTCTAGTCAGTTTCAGAGTTTTGTACTTGTATAACATTGGGTTGCAAGCACAGCAAGAGAATGTGTGTTTAAGACTTCTTCCTACTGGAATTTTAAAAGAAGCAAATGGGAAAAAAAATTAGAAAATGAACCAGATTTGATCTGGAATTGCTCCCTTAAAAAAAGAAAAAAACAAAAACGAAACAGTAAAAGGTAGGGAGCGTTGAAAACAATGTCCACATTGTCAGTTGATTCTTTACTAGCCCAAAAGCAAAGTACCAGAAATGCCACAGTCCAATAGTTTAAACAGCTTGAACTGTATTACGTATGCCTGCATAGCTTTTGTTGTAAAAATCCAGAAGACAATAGACACAAATGGTTACTTTATATGTGGTCTCATTAGAAATTTTTAACTAATTACTTGTGTTCATAACTGGCAGAGTATTTATGCTGTGAGGTTTTTGTATTTGCTGTTGCTGTGATCTATAAAGTGAAATCTATTATTACATATCACCCACTGTGAAGCAAATTCCATTATTTAACTCCAGTGGGTATGTCCAGATGGAGATAAAAGCCCTGCAGCATGGCCGCGGCTGGCCCAGGTCACCCGACTCAGGCCACAGGGCTAAAAATTGCTATGTAGACGTTTGAGCTTGGGCTAGGGCCCAAGCTCTAGGACCCTCCACCTTTGCGGGGTCTCAGACCCTGATCCCAAACATCTACACAGGAATTTTTCAGCCCCGGAATCCAAACCCTGCAAACCCAAATTAGCTGACCCAGGTCAGCTGCAGGTTTTTTATCCCCATATAGACATACCCACTGTGGCCAGTGTATTGCCAATGTACTTATGTACGTGCTTAATTTTAAGTATGTGCTGAAGTCCCATTGATGTCAGTGAGACTTGCACATGCTTACATGCTTTCCTGAATAGTGGTGATCTTAAGCATGTGCTTATGTGCTTTCCTGCACTGGGGGGTCTGTGTGAATAAATCCTAATATTTTAATGGAGAAATGTTACTGGTCTATACAATAGATATTGTACAAAGGGAAAATGTAATAAATACAACCCTATCATATGCAGTAAACTAATATGTAGTAACCTCTTACTGTCATCAGTAAGGGAAAGTTACAAAATGAAACTATGTGGCAACAATAATGTTCTGCTAAACCCTGTCTCCAGATGACTCATCCGCTCTATGTGCCTGTTAATATTTAAGTCTTTTTCGTGTTGCTAATGGCACAGAAAAATGAAGAACTTTGTATCTGTATGGCATAGTTTCTCAGTAACTCAGCTGGATCTGAGGTTTTGGCTGTCCTGGGGAAAAGAGAAAATATGGCTCATTTACATTCTCTGGACACGGCTGAGGAATCTGAAGGATTCAGTTAATTTTCTAACAAAAGTTCGATAGCTAAAAACACTTTTTTGTGTCAATGGGGAAAATATCACTTGATATGTTTTAGTATGTGTATTTGTATGGGTCAAAACCTTGGATTTCAGAGGGTGGAGGGTAACAGCATTCTGGCCTTCTATTCAGGGCTACTAAGAGCAGAATTTGGCCCCTCTGGATAAACTTGAAAATTAATGATCAGGTCTAAGGATAGGAACTACTACACAACAAACTGGCCATCTCTGGTCCTGCATAGTTTTGGAGTAATTTCTTCCGTTCCATAGAGTTTCCCTTCATCTTTGTAAGTAATGCCCTGTAGTTAGAAAAGTATCATTTAAATAATGTAGTGTCATGCATTTTTTTTAGAAGTGTTAATGTTCTGATTTTAAAGAGACCTGTCTGAGTTTAAATATTTTCTATTCCAGATAAAACCTTGGTCAGAATTATCCTCTCCTGTCAAGATCTACTTCTGTGTAACTATCCTCTCTCTGTTGAGCGTAATAGGACTAACCACAGAGACCCTCTTTCGACAGACTCATGAAGATTTCACCATTTCTCTTATACAGTTAATTGGAGTTGGTAAGAAATGACCAGTTTCTGCACTTCAAAAATAGATGCACTAATTCATTATTTACTAATTTGGTAAAGAACACTCAGATTTTGGATTTTATTCTAGTTGATATAATATACACATTGAACCTCAATACCTGCAGAGGCAGCATTACACAAGTTGAGGAGTGTACATGCTAGATACTTCTGTGGCAGTTGTTTTTTGGTGTTATTGTAGAAGGAAGATCGAGTGTCATGTAGAAAGCAGTTCTCTGAATAGCATAAAATAAACACTCTGGTTTTAGGATGTTTTGGCTTAGGACTGTTTTGCTGCTTCTGTTATTATTTGGTTAGTATAGTAGTTTCCCACTGAGCAACTGTACCAATGATTTCGGTTTTGGACAACTATCATTTTACTAGACCAAGTCCTCATCTGTGCCAGAGTGTACCTGTCAGCTCCGGTTTAAATTTCTTATGCTCTAACCCATCACAGAATTTGGGCAGGTCAACGTGCATAGTACTTCTGGTCATCCCTGGTCTCCTTTGAGTGATATCTGGTTCCAAAAGTGCCTTCTTCCACTGCAGGAAAACAAGCAGAGGCAGTTTGGTTCTTAAACATCAGAAAGTGCAGACCATCTCTCTGTGCCAACCCTTGAATAGTTCTTGTCCTTTTAGTTTAAATTGCTGCTCTATAGGAAGCATGAAATCTATAGAGCCCCACAGATAAAATATTTCCAATTATCATAACTTCAATAGAAACCATACCTCACCTTTTGAGATACTCCCTAATTAAATCAAAATGAAGCTTCATTTGAAAATAAATAAAACAAAGGTGTGTGAGGAGGCCCTGGCATGTGGTACTAGCAGGTTTTGGCTGTTAGCTGGCCAACATAAGCCTAGGAAGAACTGCTCGTCTGTGTGGGAATCACACCTGGAGACTGAGAAGGGCAGCAGGTCTTCACGCTGGGTGTAAGCAATTGCTGCCAGCCGGCTTTGGTGTTGTCACCAAAACACAACGAAGGCCGTTGATGATGTTCCATATTCTCTAATTAACACACGCAGAAACACATTAATTCATTCGGGAAAACTCTGCTCTGATTAGCAGCTTTTCACACAGGAATCATCAGTACAAGATAGAATTTTGGACACTAGTGCAGAGCACTAGTCCAGCCAATCAAGCATCCTGCCTCTGTTAGTGATAGAGTCTGAGTCTTCAGAGAAAGATGAAGAATCCCATAACATCCCAACCCAACTATGCAGTGTTACAGATGGGGATAGCGAGAGCATTCCTGACTCCAACCTGTTTTTTTCCTACCTCTTATGGTTGAGCCCAGAATACTAAGTTTTCTACTCTCCAGCCAGTAGGTGGAGACAGGAAATCTATCTATCTATGCATCTCTACCACCATGTTCACAACAAGAAAAAGAGGTGTACGTTAACACAGGTGACCGAATAGGATTTTAACACATTACTTAAGACTCAACGTAGATAAGCCAAATTGCAGTTTTAACACATGAGCTGGTTGAGGTAATGGGAGAATGGGACTGGGACCAGGAACCAAAGGTGGGGAAGAGACGGGGCTGGAACAGGGACAGGTTGGAGGGGATGGGGCAGAGGAGGCCAAGCTTGGGTGGGGAATGGACAGAAGAGACTATCCCCACTAGAGCACACTCTCTTTCAGAGGCTGGAAGGTAACCCAGGATTCCTTGAGTCTCACCACCTCTCAGCTGTCAGCAAATATCTGTAAAATCCACTGGCTAGATTTTTTTTCTTTTCAAAATCAGTCTCCTGCCCCCCTCCCCTTTTTAAAAAAAAAAATTAAGATGAGAATCATCATATTTGTTCTTCCTGGTTTTGCTGGAGGACCTCTTGGAGGGCTCAGACATATGATCAGTGAGCTCTCACACTTCACCTTAATTGAAGGGGCCGATGTCTTGAATCTCTAACAAAGATGTCCTCTCAAATGTGCATGAAGCTTTGGAATTTAACATGTGCTAACAAGAAATGAGTTTTAAAAAGAGTCGGATTAAAATCCCTTTCCCTTTTAATTGGTCAGCTTTCATCTCTCACGGTAGCATAGTTTCATTAGTTCTACTATCACTATACAGTCTTCCACGGTGGACAAGAACTGAAGTTCTAATATAAACAAAAATATCAAGCAGAAACCACTTTTCTTTTTGACAAAAACATTTCACATAAACAAACATACAAACAAAAAATTCACAAGGCTAATTTTTCAGTTTTGCCACTTATTGTTAGTGGCCTTATTTACCATCAGCAAGAGTGAAAGAGGAACAGTCCATTGTTCATTTCCTGGGGTGGTTTGTCTGGGGAAGAACACGTACCTATAAAATTATGGTTACATTAGCTGGGAAACTCTGATGATGCTCCATCCACATGTCCCAAAGAGTCAGACCCACTCACATCCCACTGGTACTTGCTCACTCGATGTGGAGGGAAGGAGAGTTGGGCAGAAAGTCAGATGAGTGAAATAGAGTGGGATCAGAGAAGCAAGTAGAACAGAGAACTGATTCTGATTCTCACAAAGGGAAGGTTTGTTCCTTTGTTCCAGTTTGGGCAGAAGATGATGCAGAGATGAACAGAGACTATTGACTAAAAATCTTGGTGTTCTTTGGGGTGCCTCACCACAATTTCACCCTCAGGTATCTATCCTAGGGTGGTTCTTACCTGTTTTAGGGATTACTATAACATCGTTTTTCAAACTGGGGTGAGGTGCGATGAAGTTATCATGGGGGTGCCAGGACCCAAGGTGAAGGAGAACATCCCTGCATCCTTGCTACTTTCTGAGGAACAGGAACCAGCACCTCTCTGCTGGCAGGTGTGGCAGGAGCAGCCAGCACACAACGGGAGGCCTGGAGGGAAGGGTTGGAGAGTAACCTACCCTCACAGTGTTTATTGCTGCCCCCCACACCCCCACCCCACTCAGCACATGCCTCAGATGCTAGGTTGGTGGCAGCAGGCAGTGGCATGAGGAGCCAGGGTTCAGGATCCGCAGGAGATCAGGATTGTACTTGAAGAGGGAAGAAAGGATTTAATTTCCCAGAAACAATATTGTTTTGTATGGTGTGTCTGGGCCAACTGTTATTTTGGGGGACTCTGCACACCTACTCCTAATGTGGTTTATGAAACCGTTCCCCAGCAGTCATATTGCAATGCTTTTGTCTTCACTAGTCACATTTGCTTACAAATCTCATCTGGGAGCACTCCATCTCTCTCAAGGACTTTATCAACATTTGCCTGGGAGGTGGGGGATGAAGCCATTCTTTTTTTAACTGTTCATTGTCAGCCGTGCTAACTGTACTTCGCAGCTGTAATAGAGCACTAAGCCCTACTATGGTTGAAACCGGTCAAGGTTTGGGAGAGTGGACAGCAGGTGCTGTCATTGCCTGCATTGTTAGTTAACTGCATTGTGCTCCAGTTAGTTTTCTGCTTGTGAACGAACCATAAAGAAATACCTACCCCTTTTCTGTGTGGTGGAATTCTGCTGCATTGAAAACTAAAGAGCTTTGTGTAAGCACATATCACTAACTGCATTTTCCCCATTCCTCGCCTGTGTCCTTGGGACTGGGGATATTTCTGAACGTGGGGATGGGGGAGAGATAGAAAAATGTGTGGTGTATGACGGCACCAGGCAGTCACCATATTCCATTTCCATGGGGTGTGAATCATGGATATGAGTCAGGAAGAAAAGGGCTCAGTGTATTTTGGGAATGGGGGTAGAGGACTATTGAAACTTGGGACCTGATACACACCCCTTACCCTAGCCATGCTACAGACTGGCACGGGTACAGGGCCATACCACAGCTTGAGCCATGTACTTACCCATACCCCTCAGCTATAAGTAGAGTTGCCAATTTGTTTGGATGTATACCTGGAGGTTTCATCACATCACATCATCTTTCATTAAAGATTAATCTTTAATTCCTAGAGACACCAGGACAATCCTGTAGGGTTGGCAACCCTAGGTATAAACTAGCTTATTTGTCCTCTACTTGCCTTCAGACACTTGCTTCTGTGACCAATAGGGGGGTTATTTATGACACAATCATGCACATAGACGTGTGTACAGTTGCTAGTATAGATGTACCCTAATGTTTCAACCCAGCACAGAAGTTGACATTAGACTGCTGTCAAATCTGTTTGTCTACCTTTCGCAATAGTCTATCCATTAAGGCTTGAGAGCTATCCCATAATGTACTTAGCCAGTTGAACAGTGCTGTAAACGTGTGTGTGTGAGCGTGTGTGGTTAATTCCTTGCCATCCATAGAATTATTGCTCTCTCATTAATTACTTCCACTAGGAAGGTTAAATGATTTCCCTTGCTTTTCTTTAACACACACACACACACACACACACACACATCAAATACTATTTCATAGAAGCTGCTAATTGGTTGAGGGAGTTGATAAGGTAATATTTTTCAGATGGAGTATGAAAGGCAAGCCAAAAAATGGATCTCATAAGTTGTGTGTTAAACACATTGTGTCATCTGCATCAGGGGTCAAGAACATATGCCCCTTGTGTGTTCTCAGTCCGAGGTGGTTACTGACCTGCCTTTCTCCTTCTCAGTGTTCTGCGTCTACTATGTAACCAGAGGGATCCTGCAGGAGAATCGCCAAGAGCTCATTGTCTTCGTTCTCTCCATCTTGCTGGTGATGTTTCGATCCATTGTCAACTTCACACTTGTCTCTGCTCAACAAAAGCCAAATGTCCTGGTCAGCATCTCAGTTTCATTCTCTTTGCTTTTCTCTAAATACTGACTTTGAAGATCTTAGGAAAGTAAAGAATCCTGCGAATGTGGTAAGACAGCTGACATGGGGAAAGTCAGGCATCTTATTCCATAGAGTTTTCGGTGTTCTTATAGAAGTTGTGGAAGTTTGATTATCAGAGATGGCAAATTTCTTTCTCTCTGTTCAAGTAGTTTTGTGGTTCTCATCATGGGAGTATCTGAGTGCAGCACAAACATCAATGGATTTTACCTCACAACACTCCCTCTGAAGTAGGGAACTACTATCTTCACGTTACAGATGGGTACTGGCACAGAGCAGGTTAAGTGAGTTGCCTAAGATAGGAAGTCTGAGCTAGGAATTGAATGCAGGTCTCCTGAGCCCCTAGCCAACAGCCCAAACATTCCTACCATTATGTTCAGTGGGAAAAGCAATAATTTTGCCATGCTGGAAAGTTGCAGCGTCTGTTGGAAAACAAATGGCTGGTGGGGCTTGTAGTTTTGTTCTAATGGCTTGTTTACACAGCAATTTACTGCACTGCAAGCCAGGGTTACAGCAAATCCACCCTCACTGCACTGTAGCAGTGTCCACACAGGATATTAGTGTGTGGCAAACTGGTGCGCTGTAGATTCACAGCCTGGCTTGCAGCGCAGTACCTTGACATGTAGACAAAGCCCTATGTTATTATAAGCAAATAGGGTGCAGGATTTGGAGCTAAGCTGCATCCTTCACACACCTGTCACACCCAGACTGTCCTTCTAGGTACTCCTTCCCCCTTATTTGCATGCTATCCTCCGGGATGGGAAAGAGGTTCCTTCCTCCAGAGTGACACTGAAATATGAACTCTAGCAGGGAGGAACACTGCAGAAAATAAGCTAACAAGATTAAAACAGCATAGGATTGGCCTGCTCAGTTTACATAGCAATGGCTCATTCAATTCCTGTTACTTATTGGCAGTGAACAGAATCTTGGGGCTTACCAGGGGAAAGGCATCAAGGAAATGCTGATTAATTTAATGTACAAACCCCAGCTATCTGCCTGTATGGTAAACAAGAACCAGGAAGGAGATGAAAACAAAGCTATGTTTATTGATTCCAGCCAAAAAAGAAGTTTCAGACTCAGGTGAAAAAACCATGGTATTAAAATGAAACTGCTTTTCCCATAGAAACCAGTAGGAAAGATTCTCTCCATCTCAGCCAATTAGACATCTTACTTGGTAACTCCCATGAAGTAAACTCAAAGCCAGCCACTGCCAAAGAAAGGTTGGCCCTTTACAGCTATTTCTTTGATATGTAAATTAAAAATCAAGCATACCATTGCAATGATGTTATGTTTGAATATCCAAGTTAGGGAATGCAAAGGTTAAGGTATAAATCTCCCACACTGAAGGTAGTGTATGATAAGTTGCACCTTAAACATCATAATTACATTAATGTACAGTAATCCATTACATCAAATGGCCAGAATTTTAGCTTTATGAGGGCATAATCAATGCCAGCTTCTATTCTAGCAGTACATCTTATGTGAAGTTAACTGCTATGTTAGAACTTTTGCATTTGCATGGAACCTGATTTCCTTGTTCCTGGTCCCTGCGATTTTCAGCAACAACAAATGAATATTAAATGTTGTCCCCATTTTTTGAAGATTAACCCGACTGTAGTGTGGTCAGTCCAGGTGTGCCATTGTAACTCTCTTGCTTTCCTTTCTCATCAGGCCCGCTTTATTCTGATCCTCTTGGTTGGATCCTTTGACGTGATCTGCGCCATCATCCTCATTCAGAGTCAAAGCATGATGGCCTTCCGAGTGGGCGGGGCTCTGGAAAGCCTCCAGTCTCAGTATTTTATGCTGAATCTCTGTTTTTCCATGTTGACCTTTGATCTTCAGGCGCAGGTATTAATACATTCTACATTGCTTCTCTCTCCCACTAATATTGACCACAACTTGGAATTGGACTAGTGTATGTAAGAGGCAACTGCAAGCCAGGTCTCCCAGGATCTCACCAATTGACTTACTGTGTGATCATCTCTAAAATTTTCCTAGTAATGCTTACCTCCCCTAAGTATCCTTCATAGGGAAAAATGGCTAAACCCCATAAAAATAGACCTAAAAAATATTTTCTCATTGTCCTGCCAGACAAAACAGAAGCGGAATCTTATTAGGAAGTCAGTTTGCCTGGAAGACCAGTGATTTCCAGAAGTACTGAAACTCGACTGTTTCAGTTTCCTAACATAGGAAAGGGATGATAACACAATAACTTTACAGAGTCAAGCTTCCTGCTTCTGTAGCATCCCAACTGCTACCTACACTTGGGAACAGGACACTGAGGTATGAGAGAATCACATTTTGATAAAGAACTTGATGTAGCAGAGCAGTCAGGTCAAGATGCCAACCTGAAACTACAGATATGTAAAGTGAACCACAGAGGCCTATTTGGAGAGAGATTGTACTTCAATACCTGAGCTACTTTGTTACCTATACTTTCACCTGGGAACACCTATTGCTGCCCTCCCTGTTCTTTTGCTGGGTTGATACATTGGTAGGGTATAGTATATGCCCTTGTCTTCTCTGTTTGGTGCTGGCTCAGTTTTCCTAAGAGAGAAATCTTGCCTTTTAAACTCTGCCCTTCTGTCGTTGCTGAGAGTTTGTGCCATCTCTTTGGACGCTGCTTGTTTGTGGGCATACACAGTTTAAAACCTGAAATTTCACTCAACTTCTACCTCTCACTTCTCAGCTCTGCCTTTGTGCTCTGCTGCTAAGGAGTCTGCATGTAATCACCCTCTTGCATAGCATCATCCTAGCAATTGGCGTCTTCTGGGCTTGCCTGAAAGTAACAGTTGGCATCATCGCAGTGAGTGTGAACCTCAGAGTGACTCCATGAACTTTGTAATGGGATGTGAACTCCTTGGAGAATGGGTTATCAATCTGGGTTGCAAATACATGAGAGGAGGTCACTACCACTCCACCCTTCCCATACTGCTGAATCGGAGGTGGGGTCCTGGCTGGGCAGGAGGGAGACCCGGGGGAAGGGGACTGGGGCGAGTCCCAGTATGGAGACAGAAAAGAAGCATTAGAGGGCCCTGTTTAAACGTAAATGACTATATTAAGATTGAAAATAAGGGCTTGTGAATTTAAAATTTTGTATTTGATCTTACTCAGGCAAAACTTCCATTGAAATCTTTGGGTGCTCAAGTAGGGAGTGCAGGATTAGAAGCAAAGTAGGTTAACCTCCTTTTGTCTGATACCCCAGGGAAGCATTAGGTGCGATTCAGATGCATTGAGTGTTTTCAGTTTGCTTCAACACTCATGGAAATTCTTAACAGCTGAAGGATAGTTTTATTCTGATATTAAATATATGCTCCTGGATGCCTGCAGTTGGTTTGTTTCCTTGCCCAGCTACACAGAACTAGCCAGAAGCAGGGGACTTTTACAATACTACTTCCTTCTAGATAATATGTCACATGAAATCAACCCTCACTGGTAACCTAGTTGTAACAGTCGTAGCCTCCTCTTCCTCCTATTGCTGGGAAATAATAGTACAAGCCACCTTAAGTGTTGAGGCCGGGAAGTCAGGTAGTGCGACTCCTGTCTGCACTCCCACTAGCAGCTCCCCACATACCTTTGTAAAGTGTTAGATCTCTGACCCCCATTAGATCCCTGTAGACAGACAGCTGGGGAAGTGGGAGAGGCAGCAAGATAGCATCACTTTTCCTCAGTGACCGGAAGTGCACAGCCACCGATTTGTTTTTCCACCACCACCTGCCAGCCAGTCCTCAGAAACCACCTGGCCTCAGCAAGTAGCCTGCAGAAATCTCTTGGGCCTCTGAGTCACCCGGAGAGAGTGAGCATTAGGACAGTCACTCCCTAATTAGATGGAAAGCTCTGTCCTCACACACACACAGGCCCTACACTGAGGCAGTGCAAGGCTGGGTATCTGTACATTAGTAACAGCAAATGCTCTAGTGGACCATCTGTCTTCTTAGCCTGCTCGGAGCCCTGTCTACACTACAGCTACCTCTGGTGGCACGGCACTGCAGGGGTAACAGTGCTGAATGCCAGCCCCATTGTCCCCCAGTGCAGACACAGCCTTGCACTGCTCAGGAATAAGAGAGTCAGTACTCATGGTGTAACTAAACACCTGGTATATTTAAAGGAATAAAAGGGCAATATCTCAGTGCTGCATCTTGCCAGCCTGTGGCACATACTGCTGCAGAGGTCAAAGACAGGGCAGCTAGATTTTAGAAGGGCTAGAGTGTTTCCCAATCAGATCCTTGTAGTTCTGCATTCCAAGGTAGGGGCACAATTCCATCTTGGGCTTTGGGGCATAGGTTCATTGCTACAGGGTCAGGAAGGGGACTCCCTCCCAGCCCCACAAGCTTCACACAGTCAGCTCACAGCAGAGTACATAGCGCTTTCTCACCTCCCTTTGTAGCAATGGGTCTTAACCTCCTTTGCTTGGAGCCCTCGGCCTGCAAGATGTCATAGATAAGCACCTGCTCTCAGGTTATTGGGAGGCAGAAACACAGAGGCACACGAATCTACAACAGGTGTAAAAGCTTTAACAACAATAACCTGGAAGTGCCCCACACAACATGGTCCTGTCTAGAACCTGAGGGACCTCAATTCCACTCCAGCCCTTCCAAAACACCCCCCTGCCTCCATTCCTTTACTGACAGTTACCCCCATCTCACCAGGTTTGGACCTTTATCCTGCTCTTATTTATTCATCTCATCTCCCTTTTCCTCTCCTGATATTTCTTTCTAGTTCCATGGTTTAGTCTGTTGTCCACCCCCATCTCTTTTTCTCCCCCCTTGTCATTTTCTAGTCTCTCTGTTTCCAGTTCTGTTCTTCCTGTTATGCTTCCCAATCTCCCCCATCCTCTTTCTACAGCCCTCGTTCAT